CCTGCCTGCCTGCCTTCACGCCGCTGGCTGGCTGGCTGGCTGGCTGCCGTTTCCCTCCCGTCTGCAAAGCGGGCGAGTTTAAAAGCTCCGCCGCTGTTTCCGAGGCGTGGGCCGGGCTATTTATAGCCTTCGGGAAAAGGCAGGCGGAGGAAAGAGCGCGCCGCGACCCGGGACCCCGGCGGACCCTTCGGGCCCGGAGCCGCGCAAGGGCGGAGCGGGAGGGTGGGCGAGCGAGTCGTGGCGTGGCGTGGCGGTTTGTGTGTGTCCTTCTCGGCTGAGATTTCCGCACCACCCAAGACGGTGAGCTTTTTCCAGCCGACTCGCTTCTTCACTCCACCGGGACCGACCCAGAGGTGCAGCGCTGCATCGCCCAGTTGACCGAACTTCGTGCCCGTTGCCTTCTGCTGGACCCACCCCGTGGGTTTTTACAGTGCGCTCCTAGGCAGGTCGACTCAGAAGCAGGAGCCACTAAGTGCAGAAGAACACACCCAGCGAATTGGACTTTGTCTTTTAAAAGTGGGTTGGTGGTGCTAGTGGACGCATTTTACTCCAACCACTCCAGTGAAGAAAAAAAAATACATATTAACATAGTGTTGAACTTCATCCAATGCGGAAACCCAGATAAAGGCAAGGGAACACCACTTGTGATGATCCCGACCTTATCCATCCAGTCTTTTCGTTTTTTAAGGGGCAATGGAGAGAAGCATTTGCTTTTCCCATTCCTGAGCAAGCCTTAGCGTCAGGACCCTCTGGAGGACATTAATTCACGAGTTTGTCCTAAGGCAGAAGCAACCGGATGTCACATAAGGGCACCCCATTTATCAGAGCTTCCAAACTCCGGGCCTCACCCATCCTCATTTCCCAACACAATCCTGGGGAGTACCTGGTCAAATAGAAAGCACCCCTATGTTTGCTGCAAATAAAGGAAATTACAAGGAAATAACCCGTTATGTCAATATGGAGGCATTCTTTCTCTTCTTTTCTATACCTAGGTATCTCAGTAGATTGTGCTTTCCATCATCCACCTCATCCCAAGTTTTGTGTAAGTAACACATTATAAAAGACCCTTTAAAGAATATTTTAAATAAAATAAATCTTCAGCAAGTAAGGTGACATGAGACTAGATGGTAACAGTAGTTGTTACAGGGCAAAAGCTGCTTTGTGAGAAGAGTGGAAGCGAACATGGGAGAGAGGGAAGAACATGATCCATCTTCAGCAACACCAGTTCGTTCAATTAATGGAGATAACCTGTAATTGGTTCCACCCACGTCTACTGTAAACTGCACACAGAGATCAACTGAAGCCCATGAGTGGAAATGATGCTTTGCATTTGAGCATGTTTAACAACTGAAACAAGCCCTCTCAATGGACAATACCCCACAACTCTGTCTTGCTTGACTGCTAATTACTGTGATATAATTAAAGTCTTTAAACTCCTTGCACCTGGTAAGGGCCTCAGGTCAACTCTGGTTACACCTTCTCAACTCTTCAGCAAACCATGAACCTAACTTTCACTCTCAAATGGCATATTTCATTTGGGAAGAAACATGAAAAATCTTGTACTTATTACCCATCTAAGAGGCAGGACTGCCCAAAGTGCCAACAGCATTGCCAGGAAAGGCAGTAGAGAAATGGCTTGGGACAGAGTTTCTTTCCCGGAAAGCAACAGCTTTCACCTCAACCAAAAAAAAAAGAGAGAAAGGAAAACAGAAAATAAAAACAGGGAAGTACGGGGAAAAAGAGGAAATCATATTTCATTTGGGAAGAAACATGAAAAAATCTTGTACTTATGACCCATCTAAGAGGCAGGACTGACCAAAGTGCCAACGGCATTGCCAACAAAGGCAGTAGAGAAAGGGCTTGGGACAGAGTTTCTTCCCTGGAAAGCAACAGCTTTCACCTCAACCGAAAAAAGAGAGAAAGGAAAACAGAAAGTAAAAACAGGGGAAGTACGGGAAAAAGGGCATTTGACAATCTGATAAGACTACAGACAGCAGAATAGTAGCTAGGTAAGACTGCCAGTGATCCTGAAACGATGGGGGCCTTCGTTGCTCCTACTCATAGCCAGCAGGACCAAAATATATTAAGCAAAATAGTAAAAGATGCAGAAGTATGCAAGAGGAAAAAAGTGTGCAAATTCAATCAATTTGCAGATATTTATGGAGGTCACAAAATTCAGATTATTTTTGGCACAGGCTATGGATAGCCTGGGGCCAGAACTTCAATTTTAAGCTCACAGCCTGATTAGCGCTAAGAGAGTTTTGCCTTAGATCTGTATAGGAGTCAGAGTGAGAGAGCTCAGACACTGCCCTCCCTTGCTTAAGGCCTCCCACTTGAAGAACCAGGACTCTGTACCCTGAAGCAGGGGTGGGTTTTGCTGTGTTTCTACAGAGCAAACCAAGCCCAGGGAGAAGTCACCCAGTGAAGCAAAGCACTGAACAACACATAAATGTACCAAGACAGACACCAGGGATTGCGTGTTTTGACACATTTTACTGTGGTGATTTGTCAGAGCTACCCAAGTCCTGCATGAGTGTGTGGGGAGCCCCCTCTTCCCAGTTTCCAGTGGAAAACCAGTCCAGCCCAAGGCAACTGAGGCTGAGATCACAGTCAGATGAACCCAAAAGAACCGGCAGTCGGGGCAGTGCAGCCAGCATCACAGAGAACATGGCCCAAGGTTCTGTTCCAGACTGGAAAGCTGGTGCTTGGGCTCTCATGGCTTTGAGGTTCCTTCATTTTTCAGAGTAGAAAGCAACCCGCAGGGAGGTGCTGTGGGGGGGAGGTGTCAAAGCACACTGCTTCCTCTGAGTCCAACGCCCCGGGCAAACTGCTCCAGAAGGCCACCAATGGCTCCCGACGGGCTCGGCGACACAGGCTTCAAGCCCACTGTGCTGCTGTAGGCAGCCAAGAACGTGGAACGCACTTCCTCCAGACGGGACTCCCGCTCTGTCAACGTCACCAGCCTGTAACAGCACGAAGAACAGCAAATCGCATTATCAACAAGAGCCGCAAGAAAGCCATTTTAGAATGCTTGAAGGATTTCACATACAATCCATAGCATGGCCTTACAAGAAGGGCACACTTTTGTCTTAGCTAGAATAGGCCCATCTGAATTAATGGAACTTACAGAGGAGGTGATACATGCCATCCCTGCTGATTCAATAGATCTACTCCGCTTGGGACCAGCTACTAGATTTCAGCCCTATAGCTTAGTAATGAAGGCAGGCAACTTTCTACCCTCCAGATTCACCAGATTTCAGCTCTGAGAACTCCCAGTCAGTATGGCTGCTGATAAGGAACAATAGGAACTCTACTCCAAATCAAGAGCAGGACCAAAAGTTCTCCATCCCTGTGCTAAGTTAAAGACATGTAGCTTTAACACAGAAAACTGTGGTCCATGCCAACCAGTGTGGTAGAGTGGACAGAGTGACAGACTGGAACACAGGAGACCCAGCTTCAAATCCCTGCTTGGCCACATAAATTCACTGGGGAGCAGCACTGGTAGAACCACTCCTTGGATATTTCACCTCTGCTTTGAGAACCCTATTAGGGCTGCTATAAGTTGGATGCAGTCTGACAGGTGCATAATGTCCAAAGGAAACGTCCTCTATGGTTCAGTCTTTTAGCCATTGTTTGTTTGTTTATTTAGTCGTTTAGTCCTGTCAAACTCTTCGTGACCCCATGGACCAGAGCACGCCAGGCCCTCCCGTCTTCCACTGCCTCCCAGAGTTTCATGAAATTCATGTTGGTAGCTTCGGTGACACTGTCCAACTATCTCATCCTCTGCCGTCCCCTTCTCCTCTTGCCTTCACACTTTCCTAACATCAGGGGCTTTTAGCCATTAGTACTCATCAATGTGCGAGTGAAAAATAGGGCTTTACTCAAGCTACTGCAAGAATCACTAGCACGGCACAGCCCAATAAGCTCCCCTTTCCTCATGTAGCACAGAAGGGAGAAGAAGGCACATAGTCCTTATCATGGAGGCAGTCTAGGTTCTTTGCCCTGATACAAAACGAAAGGGAATTAATGCCCATGGGGGGGGGGAAGGGGGTCCTGATGCCAACTGGCTGAAGCAGACGCTGAAAGAAGACCTACATCAGGCATAGATCTCCTGACTCCAGCCCTCCCGCTGCAGCAGAGCATCAGAGGAGTGGCAGCTGTTCATCCCAGCTGCTTATGGGGCTGCCTGTACTCTCCCCACTCTCCCCTGTGCTGGCTGCCTTGCCTCCTTCCCACCTCAAGCACCGCTGGGCTTTTACGGCTCTGATTCAGGGAGCATGCACGAGGCAAAAAGGAGACCTTTTGGCAAGGCACAAAAATCTGAGCAGATCTTACAGTTAGCGCCTGCCCCGGAGGAGCACAGGAACACTGTACAAAAATCACTGGCATGGAAGGCAGCTGTGTGGACAGACACAGTTCCACTTCCACTCAAAGGCAGCATTTGTGTCCCTCATTAGTGGAAGCATTTCTTGCGTTTGCAAGGCAAGGGAGGCCACCCCTCCACCCTTCCTTCCCATTTCCTGCATCAGTCCCACCAACAGCACGAACCCCAAATACCACCCCTGCCACTGCACCTTTAAAGAGAAGCCAAAGTTGGGTGCAGTAGAGAAAAAGTTCTGCAAACACCACCCCTCCAGAGAGGAGGAGCCCACAGTGCCCACCGCCTCTCCTGTTCTGCTGGCTTTCCCCTTTTATCAAAGCGCTTTTGGGCAAAAACCTCCTGGCTGGGAGCTTCCATATTAGTAACGCTCCTCTGGCTCCATTAGCGAATCGATTCCCCACCTTCTCCAGCTTTTCTCCTCCTCCTCCTCCTCTCCCACCCCCAATCCTTCCAGCGGGCCCAAGATGACAGCATCATTGGCAGGGGGTGGGTGGCAGCAAGAGGAGGAGGAGGAGGAGGGGGAAACCCCAAGGATTTCCAGCTGTGCTTGCTGGCACGCAGCTCTCTCGCTCTCCTCTCCCCCCTCCACATATTCATTTCATTCTGTGAAGATAGGGCGGTACAAGGGAAGCTTCATGTAGAGCAGGCCAAGGCATCCCCTGTGACCTGCCTCCTTTCTATCTGAGCTATGTATGGTGGCGGGAGCAGGGGGGGGGGAGAGAGAGAGAGGAAAGAGAAGCAAACAAGGCATTCCAGATGAGAGCAGTGCAAAGGCAGATTATGGTTCAAAGGCATCTGTTCCGAGCGTCTTAAGAAAAACAGTCTTTGTCATGTCTGCATGGATCTTTCTCTCCCCCTCCCCCCCCACAACTTCTCACCATCTCTCTCAAAGAGAATAAGACATTCCTTCAAAAAGGTCATCCCAAGGGCACCACAGAAACCTGCTCATCAAGAAATCTCTTTCATCTCCCCAGTGTTTCAGAGTGTTTCACTGGCACTGTTAATTTGAATGGAAGTGGGAGAAAGCCACCCACTGCCATCAGCTTTGAGTCCGGAAAGAGCAGCAAGGGGATATGGCGGAAGGCTCGGGGATGAAAAACAAAAACAGACGCCCAAATGAAATAAGACAGCCTGCCTAGTGATTTACATGTACACCCCCCACCATCTCTTCAGTGGAAAGAGTCAGGAACAACTCAGGAGGAAAGGGGCTCCATGTTTCTCTGTGGCTCCTACATGACGAGCCAGCGGAACTCCCTTACACCAGATCGGGTGCCTGACGTTTCAAAAGAAAGTCGTAAGGATTAATGTGAAACTTCAATAAAGCCAGAAAGGACATTCACACAGTTGATTACACTTTCAACAGGGCTGAGAATCTGTTGCTTAGTGTAGTAAGTCACAACTAGAGTAGGCCTACTGAATCAGAGGGGATTTGCTGAGTCAATTCCTCCATAGGCTCCATTGATCCAATGGGTCTACTCTAATTACAAATTACTATCTCAGGAATGCTGTTTTAACTTTTAAAGATTTTTAAATTTTTCTGAATTGTTTTTATATTTGATTTGTTAATCTTAATATACGTTTCTTTTTAAAATGGGGTATTTATATAGGGTTTCTAAAGTTGTTGTTTTATCTGTTGCGAGCTGCCTTGGGTCCCCTATGGAGAGAAAGGTGGCGTATAAATAATTTAAATAAACAAATATGCCATACAACAGGATTTTATTGTGTAACCGACGCCTTAGCTCTTTTTTTTTAGACTTTGTCCACATACATCAGAGCTCTAAGAGCAGCAACCATTAGAGCTTAAAAAGTAAAGAAGAAGAACTTCTACACCCCTCCAAAAGGAGCTGAGAGAATAATAATAATCTGAGAGGAGCTGCCTTGGGTCCCCTATGGAGAGAAATGTGGCGTATAAATAATTTAAATAAAGAAAATAAATATGCCATACAACAGGATTTCATTGTGTGACCGACGCCTTAGCTCTTTTTTTAAAGACTTTGTCCACATACTTCAGAGCTCTAAGAGCAGCAACCATTAGACCTTAAAAAGTAAAGAAGAAGAATTTCTACACCCCTCCAAAAGGAGCTAAGAGAATAATAATAATCTGTGAACTGCAGAGCTGGAAGGGACCCCGTGGATCATCCAGTCCAACCCCTATCCAGGAAGCACAGTGGGGAATCGAACTCCCAACCTCTGCCTCAACCACTGAGCTCTCCATTGTGCTGGATTCAAGGCTCATCACCAAAACCAAGGCTGCAACCCTAACTATTCTTATTCAGAATCAGGCCCCACTGAATACTGTGTGGCTGCCCCTGGCTTTCCTCCTGGCATCCAACGTTCACCGCACACCTAGGCTGCCCAAGCCATGCAGTGTTGTGCCTCTCCTGGGATGCCCACCTTGCAGTGGGCACCAAACTGAATTCGAGGCATGATGGAACTTGGTGTCATCACCAAAGCAATTATCAACATGTCATGGTTTCCTGCATCCAGAGTGCTAGTGCTGAAACCGTACGTCAGCCTGTGTGTAGACAACAACCCTTGTACTTTCTATCCCCTTCTTTCCTCCACAGAAGGCTGCAGAATTTTGTCAGCAACAGAATCAGACTTTCCTCTGCATGCTAAGGCACGTCCTGCACCCCTTCACTGAAAATAAGGTGAATGCACTTGGGGATGAAAGCTCATTCAAACTAAATGGAAAAGCAGGGAGTTGTTCTGTCCTGTAACCACTTTAATTCCAGATCCAGAACCTACACGAAAACCATGCACGTCCGCAGACACATATGCAAGAAAGGACCAATCCCTGTATAATTGTGACACTACAGATGAGCTAGCAGTCTTAAAAGAGCTTTCCCAAAACACAAACAGCGCTACCAGAAGATTACACAAGACTCCGGTGTAAGCCTCGGCTGCAGCCACATGCGCTTTCCTCTGTGAAATTGCCCATTTAGTAACACCTCAGCTATCCAAAGGAGGCGGCAGGGTGGTGGTGGGTATTGCACTCAAATTGTAGAAGTGGCTCCTTGCTAATTGCTTGGACAGCCAGCTCTGGGCTTTGTACCGGCATTATCATGGGATAACTGGTTTCATTGCAGGGGTATGCATTAGTCTGCAAGGGAGCTGGTCTCCACCTCCCCCAGGCTGCCTGCTTCGTTCTTCTTTCACGGAAAGACTCATTTAGCTCATTCATAGCAAGTACAGCTTCTATTTTTGTTTTTAAAGCACTGCTTTAAAAAGTATCTCAGCCATTACATTGGGGACGGAGGACAGGATTCCAATGAAATCCGTTTGCAGCAGGTTTAGGAGTGAACCAGGCATCATTTGCCTGCTCCTTGTAGGCTCTTATTTTTTGGTCCTCTACACCTCACTAAGCATGCATATGCAGTCGCACACTCCCCAACAAAACCTATTTTGTGTATTCATTTGCAAATCCACCCCAAAGTGTCCACCTCTTCGAAGGTACTGCACAATTGTCATCTTTCTTTCTTTCTCTGGCTAAGAAAAGAATCCCCAAATTTGCTACAGACAAGACGCAGTGCCAGCCAGTAGCTGAAATGGCATCTCCACAGGTCCGACAGCCACGTGGATGGCCGGTCGATAGCACAACAGCAATAGCCGCGACAGCCAAATGGAACCCCCACCAGTACAGACAGCGTACCTCTCAAAAGGCAGATGGGACAGTGGGATTGTCGCTAAAACTAACCAAAAAAATAGTTTTAAACACTGGCACAGCTGAAGCTAATGGGCAAGTGGCACCCTTTCCTAGAGATGTCCCAGCTACTTAGGGTGACACATCCCTCAGAGGCAGCCCACCTGGTTTTACTGGGATAGACTGTCTTTGAAGATTGTGTAGACATTCCAGGGCTCCAAAGTGCTGCCATCAAACAGGAACTAGTTCTTTTTCTTGTTGTTTCTCTCCTACTCAAAGTGGGGCATCCTCCGACGTATCCTGACTCTGGGGGCCACCACCAAACAGACGCTGCAGGGCATCTAAGCTGGTCTCCCAGGTTCTTCAAAAAGTATATTCTTTGCCTTGTACTTCTATCCCCATTTCACTGCACCCTGAACTGCTGACCTGCAGGAACAGGAACAGGGAATTCAAAATTCCCCTCTGCTGGCTGCTAATCAATTTCCTGGCTTAATTCAAAGGCCTAGTTATGGTACATAAAGCACTACAGAACTTGGATTGATGCTACCTGAAGGATGGCACTTTCCCATTAGCCTCTTTGACTGTTAAAACCAGGGGGGGGACATGCCTGTGAGGGCCTTGTTGGTGACTCCTTCTAGGCTGTGGAACTCACTTCCACAAGAAGCAAGGCTTGCCCCTTCCCTGCTGTCCTTTTGCCAGCAGCAAATACCTGTCTTCCTCAGACAGGGTTTGAGTGACTGAACAGTCATCAGGGAAAGGCATTTTAAATGGGGGATATTTGTTTGTCCATTCTTTGCTGTTTTTTTAAAAACTGATTTGTAATTGTTTTCAGTTTGTTATTGGATATGTTTAGTTGCATTCCAATGTTATAACTGTGTTCTTTTCAATGTTGCTGGTTTCCAAATAATTTTGTAACCTGCCTTGGGTCTATACATAGAGGGAAAGGTTTGATATAAAGTAACTGATTAATTAAACCAGTTAATAAATAAAGGGCAAGAGATCAAAAGTAAATATAGCCAAGCCATCATGAACAGAATGCTTACAGACCCCTGTCCTGGCAAGATGCCTCAGTTATGGGGGGGAAAAAGAATATCAAAGAGCCGCTCCGACAACTTACCTGAAGCTGTTGACTGGACTTCTCCAACCCAGCAGTTCGGGGGGGGGGGAGAATATCAAAGAGCCGCTCCAACAACTTACCTGAAGCTGTCGACTGGACTTCTCCAACCCGGTGCCTTCAGAAGTCTTGGACTACAACTCCCATCATTTCTTGCCATTCATTCTCCCCACTTCTCCTGGGGTTTTCAATGCACTCATCCACATCCACATTTCATTACAGGTTGGTCCACATCTCAAAACAAGACAGTTGTGCCAGAAATAAAGAGTGTTCCTTTCTACCAGATCTAGGTTTGACAGGAGGGGGCAAACGGGGCTTCCACTCTGACATTTCTCTAAGACTAAGATTGTGCTCCCTGCACTGTCTGGCTTCGTTTAAAAAAAAAAAATCCTCACCACTCAGAACACAGCAGCTGCTTCCCTTGTCACAAGACCCAAGTGGTGGCCATTTGCCCAGATGTAGGAGAATGAGAAGACTGGCAGCCTTAGAAACTAGAGAAGAGATTGGGGGAATGTCAGGAGAGCAAGAAGGCAGAATGGTGCCTTTGTACAGACATGGGAGACGGGGCAGGGCGAGATGGTTTTGAATCAGCAATGTGAGATCACAGGATATAGCTCAATCTAGGGACACCAGAGCAGGATTTTGCTCTCATCAGAGGTATTCTTTCTTCTTGAAACTGCGAACAGCACATGCGTGGTCCCAAACCTGCATTGTAGGCTGTAATGACATGGTAGAAATGGAGATGAGAGGCTTAACCACTCCTGTTCGCCAATTCTCCCTGTAAATGTACCTTCACGGGCAGCTCTCTCTCTCTCTCTCAGTAGTCATTTTCAGGGGAATACTTGCAGGAAGGAATAAAGCATTGCCTTCCTGCTTGCCATTGGTACACCTACAAGATATATCCTACACCAGTGTTAGAGAATCTAACAAGTTCCCCCTTTTCTCCTCTTGCCTCTCTTTAGATATAAGCTCCAGCACCACCACTGCAGGAGGGCTATGAACTGTGCAAAAAAAGAGAGGCTCCATTGCATAGAACTGTAAGAAGGCAGTGCTGCTGCTAAAAGCTATTCCTTTGCTGATTTTGTGGCCAGTGTGCAGGCTCAGTAATGAACTCTGGCTGATGTTTGATCAGTTATGGGTACTTCCTGCTACAGAGAGCAGACCAATAACATGTTGGGAAAGCTCTCTCTTTCCCCCCAGTTATCAAACAAACTACGAAGACCCAAGGTTCCACTGTTAAGGCATCAACGTTGAGGTTCCACCTAAGGTCAACACCACAAAAGACAGCTACGTCTGCTCAGGCAATGGGGATGCCTGGTACGGAATCCCACACCTCTCTCAATGGCCAAGGACAAAATATGAGACTCAAGGGAGGAACTCAGCCAGACAGGAAGCCAGAGAAGGGAGAAAGCACATCAATGCTACATCTCTGACCACCAGGCACAGGCTGATGGCGAACTGAACAGTCACATGAACAAAGCCAAGAGAAGTCCATGCTACCCATGCTTCCATGGCATCGGACAGCTCTATAAAGCAATAGCTTCTTTCTGCAGCACTGTCTGCCTACATTATGGGTACAAATTGAAAGGGAACCTTTGGTCCTCCCAATACTTTGAACTTCAACTCCCATCAGTCTCATACATTATAGCCAATGGTAGGGGACTAGGCGAGTTGCCATTGAAGACGTTTAAAGGTCCAAATGTTTCCTATTCTAGCCACTATCTTGATAAATGTCTTCTGTAAGAAAAGTTGTCTCACCAGATAGAACTATTACACATTAATCTTTTCTTTTTAAAAAAAAACAGAAGAATCACTTACAGTTCCCTTCTTACCACAACAGCCAGCTGTATGGCTCCAGTGGACTCAAGTGTTTGAGTCCACAAATCACCCCCCAATCAACAGAATATTGAATCATAGCATAATTGAGTGCAAAGGGGGCTATAACGGCACAGAGTTCAACCTCCTACTCAGCGCAGGAATCCAAATCAAAGCAGATCTCTTGACAGGTGGTTGCCCAATTTTCTCTTGAATGCCTCCAACGTTGGAGCACTCACTGCAAAATCACCAGAATCCCAGACCATCCGACCTATCACCTGCTGTATGGTAAGATTACTGTACGAATGATACAATGGAAGATTTTGTCATTGTCCAAGTGCCCCATAATGCCAAGCCTGTTGACATCCATATGGCCATTCCAAACCTAGGGCAAATGTACAGCCCAAGATTCTTTCTGGATCCAACAAGATTAGGGTCTGTAGTAGCATCTGGAGGGGCACTTGGAAGCACAGGGGCACTCCTGTTCACAGGGGAGTCAGGAACCAGATGGTGCAACGAGAGTATGATTCACTTAGAAAGGGCTAAAGCCCACAGCCCACGTGATGCCAGACAAGTCAAGTAGGAGGTCCAGTCTTGATGCAAGCAAGAGGGTCAGGTCCCAATCCAGCTAGAAGGGCACTTGCCATGACCACCCGGGGAGAAAAATTCATGCTTAATAAATGAGGCAGAACTGGGGCTTCTCTGGCTTTTTTTGATGGTGTTCAGTTCCCACAATCCCACCAGGAGAAAGGTGGGGTGGGTAAGTAAGTAAGTAAGTAAGTAAGTAAGTAAGTAAGTAAGTAAGTAAGTAAGTAAGTAAGTAAGTAAGTAAGTAAGTAAGGAAGGAAGGAAGGAAGGAAGGAAGGAAGGAAGGAAGTAAGGAAGGAAGGAAGTAAGGAAGGAAGGAAGGAAGGAAGGAAGGAAGGAGAGGCACAACTGGGACTAGGAAATCATCTGAAACGTCACAGCTCTGCAACTCCCCCTGCCCCCGAAACAGACTTTGCTCCATGGTGCATCTCCCTTATTTGTCATTAAAGCCACTTGAAAGCGGGGCCCTTCCCATAGTTCAACAGTCATGGGGAGGAACACATGAGGGAGGGATTGTAAGAAAAGAAACGACAAGTTTCTGTGCAAATCCTGGGGTTTGAGGTGGATAAAGTTGGAAGGAAAGGGAAACTTCAAAGGCGCGTGAAAGAGTCTCCCAAAGGGTTTGCAGCGGGGGGGGGACGGGGGGCGGGAGGAATGTTTGGCTAAGGAAAAACACAAACTGTTCTTTCAAGGATCTTACCACAAATTAAATCAAACGGTTGCAAATTAAATCAAAGGATTACCGTTTAAGGATACAGGAAGCAGCTCTCTGAGATTTCAGACTGGAGTCTTTCCAGCCCTACCTGGGGAGGGGGGGAAGGGGAAGGAAATAGTCTTGCCTAGTGAAATAAGGGTTCAAAAATTAGCAGAGCTACTTGATGTGCTTCCCTGGGGGAACCTGAACCTCCTCTAGAGAGCATCTATGTTTAATAGGAATGATACAACCTACATTATATATCCATGAGAAACAACTACTGCTGGTGGAAGCAAATCAAAAGTCTGGAGACGTCCAAACACTGTGCAAGGTGTATCTGCATCACAGGACTTTATGGGGGGGGGAGGTACTACCTGCTAGTCAGCCTTCAACAGATGAGCTAGCTAAGGGTGAGCCTTGGGTAAGCTCAGCCAGGAATGGCAGTAATGGGCACTAAATGGCCTCCGGCTGAGGCAGCTTCCAGACTTTGACTCTGGACTGCTAAACCCTAAAAGGGAGCCTCAGAGGCCCATTCATGGTCCCACCTCATGGAGTTCTGAGCAGACTTACAAAGAATGGTTAGGGAGCTCATCCAGGAAGCTGCCAGGGAGGGCAGAGTCTGCCTGTAGACTGCCACTCCCTGTGACCATCTGCCAGCTGCCAAAGTCAGTAGAGATGGAGGATCCCGGCAAAGAATGGTCAGCCGATCTGGGGCAGAGAGAGAGAAAGAGGAGAGGATGCAAGTCAGTGGCTTCCTTTTGCAACGACTTCTTCTGCGAAAGCCCTTGTTGGAGCTTGGCCCCTCACGTGTACAGCGGACATCAAGGGATGCAAAGCTGGGGCAGGTTGCGGAGACCAAGTGGCTTCTCTTTAGCAAGGAAAGGGAAGAGATGCTCAGCTCAGTCAGGGGCCAAAAGACCTGCATCTGCAAAGCAGGCAAGAACCGGCCAAATTGTTCATGCAAGGACTGCACAAGCCAAGAGCAAGCCTGACGAAGAAATGGATGTTAGTCCCAAATAGGAGCAAACCGCCCCGCCCCCCTATGATTTCAGGCAGGTCAGCAGATTAAGGCAACGCGAGGGTTCAGAGACCCTGGAAGCAAATAAGATCAGGGCTTCATTGGTGCTTCTAGGCAAGGTTCACCATCTCCCTTCCCTTGCCCTTTCCTGTGAGAGAAAACTCAAGCATAAGCGCCCCCCAAAAATGATCCTTTCTTTGCAGAAGATGGACACCTCCCGGAGGTGTTTTGGATCATAAAGGCAAGCCACAGCAATGGTCCTGCACTGGCCTATGGCAAAGCAGCAACTGATATTTTGTGCGAGCAACTGGCCCAAGAAGAGCAGAGAAAGGAGAAAATCCCATTAAAAAATTCCAGAACAGCCGCAAAGAAGATGAGACCCTTTGGATTGACTTCAAGCCTCTCAGCTCCATGTCCAGTTCAACGTCCTTCCCATTATCTGTGAATGTGTTGCTGGCGGATGCTGGCCGACATGTCTCATTAGGAGCTAAGCAAGAGTACAAGCTAAGCGATTTGGAAGAACTAAAGCCGCCAGGAGCAAAGCAGTATCAATCCTGCAACAGCAAGCTCAGGAGGAAAGCATTTTTTGAAAACAGAGAAGGCTATCCTTCAGGCTATTGCTTTCAGATGGGAGCCTCAGCAGCTGCTGGCATTTTGCAGGAGCACCAGCCCTCCGTACCTGAAAGGTCATTTGGATGCACAAGGAAATGATCCAGATTTTTAGTTGGAAAAGGCTGCATTGCACTCTTGGAATACACCCCTCCCCCTGCAATGAATTATAGCTGGTTGGGGTCTCTGAGAGCACAGAAGAGGAAGAAAAGAATGACCTTCTTTCCTCTGATCAGGGCCAGCCATTCTACCAGGCAGGCAGGTTGTTGGGCCCTCTGTGTGCCAGGATATAGGCTCTATGCATCTTAAGTGCATTTACTCTTCAACTCTTCAGCCACAAGGTCTTCAGCCTGGCTTAGAATCCAATAGAAACACTAGTTCACTGTCACAGAAGAGTAAAGATTAGGCGGAATGTAAAAAAAAAAGCCTGTTGGGTTGGAGCAGAAGTTCCTTGAGTCCTGCATCCTGCTTCCCACACAGTGGCCGATCAGAGGCCTCCAGGAAACCCACGCTCAGCTCTGAGAGGCAACAGGCTTCGCTTAACAGTGGGCTCTGCAGCGACAACAATTCAGTATCTCAAAAGAAAAGACGCCATGGCTTAGTAACCATTGAGAGTGGCCACCAATAAACTGGAAACTGCCATGCCAACATCCGACTGCTAAGCAGAACCTGGATGCAGGGTTCCCTTTTCCTCTGGCCCTTCTGCTGAAAACTTTCGAGGGTGGGGAGGGGTGGGTTGATTTGAACTGTAGGGGGAAATGACATGAATAAGGAGAGAAACATCAGGAAAATGCATCTTCATAGCCATCTCCACTAGTCTTAGGGGGAGCCAGGTGTGGACTCACTGCATCTTTAATATACAATGAAGGAAAAGATTTAGGGTGAAGGAAGAGATGGAATACCTGAAACCCTGCTTGACTCTCCTCTGAAGATGTTTACGGCAAGGGTTCAAATCCCTGACTTCCCTTCAAGAGAAGCCAGCCAACAAGTCAGCCACAGAAGGAAGTAGAAATAAGGAGGAGCAGCAAAGTGGAAGCATTAAGGTGCATCAAGAAAGTGGAGGAAGGGAAAAAGAAAAACAGTTGTGTCTGCTGGGGTCAGGCATTAGTGACTCCCTGAAGCAATCAGCATAAAGATTTCCTCCATTGCAGTCATAGCAACCACTCTCCCACTATTCACAGTGGAAGTCTGGAGGGCAACATGGCTGGTTTGAACAAAGCCGCTATGGGGAGAGAAGAAAAATGCCAGGCAAAAATGGCTGGCCAAAGAAAGCAACATTCTTGATGATGCATC